TTTTAAAGATAAATTAAATGAATAAGCAGAAGATTGATGATGTGGATGCTAATGGGTTTTCTCATTCTTCTAAAATTTCACAAGTAACTAATAGTGCACGATGTTCGTGGAATTTAGAGCGCGATAGTATGTATTATCATACCAACGTACGAGAAGGGAGAAGAAATGAAAAGCTCTTTGCTTATTTTTTTTATTAATTGAAACATATTTGCTTACTTCATTTTTTAAACTTCTTTGTCACTATTGTGTGCTAAAATATTGATAATCTCTTATGTTTATATCCTAAATTGTGGGTTCGATACTAACTTACAAATAAAGAAAGAAAGTTCTACTGAGCTCATTTAATAAAATCAAATTTTCATAAATAAACAAAAGATATAAAAGTGTGTAACAATACCTAAAATCAAGTAAGTGAGATTAACAATTCAATGTATAATAGTTTAACATACATCAATTAAAAAAAAATAGAACGAAAAAATAAAACAACAATATGGGCAGGTAAAAAGCTAGTTTGAATTAGTAGCTAAATACTCACCTACTCTACAATTCCCAAAGAAGGAAAGTAGGAAACTCAAAAAGGCAGGGCTCGGCGAAGGAAGGACCCGAACGATTTCAGCGGGTCAACCCATCCGGTTTTGCCGGGTTTGTCCTGGTTTAAGTGGGGTTGACTTGATCCGGGTTAACACTCTACTGGGTCATTTTCACCAGCTTTTGTCTTCGGGTCCGGGTCAATCCGTATTGACGCGAATTAACAACCATGGTTTTGGTATTTTTTCCTTTTGACCCAAAGTTTGAGCTACTAATGAAAATATCCAAAACTCTAGAAAATAGCAAATAAGGTCACGGATTAAATTTTATGAGCTCAATAACCTCTATAAGTTGTTGGACATAACTTCTAATATACCATAAAGATTTTATGTGGTATTTATTTATGTGTCAAGAATGTAGTTGTTAGTTTTTAGATTTTTACTTAGACGTGACACCCATTTTATATTAAATCCTTAGTATTATCATTTTTCAAAATACAAAAAAAAAAAAACTTGTTGATGATGTTTTGAACTACATGAAAAAAGTGGCAGGGGAGAGGTACCACCATAGAATCATTATGGGAGCGAGCTCCCTAAATCTTTCTTGCAAGGTGATCCGCGTATAGTATATTACTCTGTCGAATAGTCTATTGATATAAGGTATTTGGCGAATCAAAATAATTGTCTAGAGAAGGATACAAAATTCATTATCTTTGACATGATGAATCAGATATCACATCGGAAAAACAAGTGAGAAAGACACTTGTATATAATTTGGCCTTCTTAATTGATGATTCGGGGAACTTGTTATTTGAGACAATGACAACACAAATGCCACATTTACCAATTACTTGTTATTTGGCGTGTGATATTTGTCCAAAATCATGTATTCATGTTTGGCAAAGGTTAATGATGAGTATTTTTGTGAAAAGAAGACTGAATAGATGAGTCGTGTACGAGGAAAAGTGATACATAAAAATGAAAAAGAATGTGTGATAAGATCTCAAACTCGTGAAAACTTAGGTTCTTTTGATCAAATCGCGCAGTCACAATCTTTTTAGGATTTTTCTAAATTTTCTCTCAACAACACAAAAAATAAAAGGATAGGGCGGATTGAAGTGCAATCTCACACATGGGCTGGGAGAAGGCTCTATCAATATAAGGGTAGAAGCTCAACCACAATGAAGGGGAATACTTGATTGATACAGAGACAACACTCAAAGCAATTGGAGTCCACCAATGACGAGAGCAAAATTTAAGAGTAAAAACTCAATGAACCGAAAAAGGATTTTCTATTCAACATTAATATCCCTCAAACCGGAGTTTACAACCCTTTAAATAGGTCTAGAAAATAAAACTAATGAAAGTACAGAAAAGAAAAAAGAATCTTATACGAAAAAAGGTAACTAAAACTCGTCAGCCCAAATCCCCTATCGACACCATCAATTCCCCTATTAGGAATGAGCACCCTCACGTTGGGGGGGGGGGGGGGCTTCTAATCCCATTCCTCTATTGCGGACCTCAGATCCTCTATATGGGATTTTAACCCACATGCTAGGGGATTTTACTGATCACCATACGATTTTAGGCTGCTCGTTTGGTGTCTAGAAAGCTTCCAACTTCTCATCTAATCCCATTCCGAGCTTCCCTCGAATGGCTCCCAATATGAACGAGTAAGCGTCCAAAGTAGGTACCACATACTATTTCCCAGACTTCCAAATTTCCAGCTTCTTCTTCCCTTGACGTGGTGTCTTCTTTGAAGATCATTGGAAATGGTTTTGGGTCACAACCTAGGATCGCATCAAGGTGGACTTTGGAATTAACAAAAAAAAATTGATAACAATATTGGGGAAAAAAAAACATAAACAACTTGTTACTTGCATAACACATGTATCCTATCATTAGTCAAATTACACAAACGTGGTATTTGAACATTAGCATATTCCAAATAACACATTTTATTTTTTCAATCAAACATGTTCTTTGGGTCCAAATAGAACTCAAATCATCAATTCAAACGATCCTTAAGTATTCACCAAACTCCATTAGTACAAGACATTTTGGAAAGAAATCCAAAAGTGAATTCGTGTGGGTTTGGATCACTTGTTGAGGCCGGATAACTTTATTAGTAGAATATTGTCCGCTTTGAACCAAACTCACGCGAATTTAATTTTGGATAGATTTCCAAAAGGCCTCTAACTAATTGAGCTAGGTGGACACTTATATATAATGAGTACTTTCCTTTGTTTGATATGGTACTTCGATTGTATCATAATGATCCTCTCCTTTATACAAGGATAACAAACTTTGTGTCCTCTCATTAAAGATTATGTTAATCCACCAAACACCTTGTATCGAAAGGCTCTTCAACACAAAGATATACCAGTTGCAGCTCGTCTTTGATCCACCATAAAGATGTAGATTTCAGATCTCAAGGTCACAGAATGGGGGTCCACCAAACTACATCCAACTCCCTAGATATGAACTCAGAACTATACTCTGATGACACTTGTTGAAACAATGCTCTATTAGTATGATATTGTCCACTTTGGGTCAGATCCGCAAAGATTTACTTTTTGGCTTCCTTCTCTAAAAGCCTTTTACTAATGGAGTAAGGTACAATGGGCATTTCATTTGTATATCCAATGTGATACTTTGATGTCTAACAATCTTTCACTCACCACAAGGACCACGCGTTTCACTCACCACAAGGACCACGCGCATTGTGTCTTTCCCTCAACGATTATCTTAATCCACAAGATATCTTGTATTGACAGGCTCTTTGATAAAAGATTTACCAGATACAGATAATCTATGATCCGTTTGGCATACACGAATTTTCATTAACGTGATTTCCTAATCAGGGCACACCAAACTAGCATCCACTATCGCGAATCTGAATTTCAAAACAAAACTCAGATACTGCTTGGGGGAAAATTGATGTCACCGAGTGAGGGTCCATCAAACTAGGGTCCATCGCCGCATATTTGAATTAAGAAACCAAACTTTGATACCACTTGTTGAGACTAGATACTCCATCAGTATGATATTATTCGTTTGGGCCAAGTCCACACGTATTTACTTTCATGTTACTTCTCAAAAAGCTGCGTTCATCAAACTCTGATACCACTTGGTGAGACCATTTGCTCCATTAGTACAATATTGTTCACTTGGGCTAGGTTGGTCCGCACATATTTACCTTTGGGTTCCTTCCCAAAATGCCTCGTATTAATGGAGCTTGATGTACACTTATGTACAAGAGTATTTTTCCTTGTCTTCTGGTGTGATACTTGGATTGTACAATAACGAATATAATATTACTAACCGTTTGGTGCCAAATGAATCAAGAATTCATTTCATTGTAAAATGAATTACCGTGTAGAATTTATTATCAAATGAAATCTTGTGTTTGGTATGTTATATTCAAATTTTAAAAATAAAATGAATTGTGGCGTATAATTCATTGTCAAATGAATTTCTATGTTTGGTATGTCATATATGTAAGTAATTTAGTTAATAAAGAGGATAATTATGTCATTCTATTATAATTAGTAAATAGTTGTGGAATTCATTTTGAATTTCCATCTCAATTCCTCGGAATTGCTATAACTAGTACCAATTCCCTAGAATTCAAAATTTAGAATTGGAAATGAATTCTTTTAAATACCAAACACAAGAATGTTTCATTTCTAAATGAATTCCTCAAAATTTATGGAATTCATTTATACCAAACGGTATGTTAATGTTCTATACATGCTTTAAATATTGAATTCATTGAAAATATACGCTCTTACGCTATCTCTCTAGTTCTGCGAACTATTGCCTAGAGCATCCACATTGAAATTTCATTTCGAATTGCATAATGACATGACATTCATTTACAACTGCATTGATAGAGATCACAATTGCATATTTGCAAGCTTGTATGCAATTACGGGTTGCAAACCACATCATTTATTATTATTATTATTTACAATAAAATTGTACAATAAAATTAGTATGAGTTGGATTGTATAAATTATAAAAGTGAATACATGTAATTGATTTTGTAATTGAATTGACGTGAATGATATCTAACCTTCAACCGTTGAAGCTAGGTTTGTCAAATGTCAAAAGTCTGGGTTCTTTTTGTTCAAAGTGTCAAATTTCAGGTATATAAAAGTATTTGGCAAATCAAAGATGAAAATTGAACTCATCCATCGGGAACGGAAAAAGAGAAACTTACTGACAAACAGCCCCAAGGACGGGCTCCTCTTTCTAGGGACCAATCTGCACTGGTCAAATCTCATTCTGTCTGTATTCCTCATTCGCCAACGTGGCTGAATAGAACAGCCTTTGCTGTGATTGATTTCGCCGATTGCTGATTTCTTTAAGCTTCTGATTCTGCCTTCTATGTATGTATCAAAGGAATTCACGATAATGGCGGTTTAGGTGCTTCTGTGGTTAGGGTTTTGGTAAAATTTCCGAGAAGAAATGAAAGGCGGAAGTGCCGCGAAGCTGATCGTTGATGCGCTTCTACAGCGATTTCTTCCCCTTGCTCGGCGCCGTATCGAAACGGCTCAAGCTCAGGTCAGTGTACTTCTGTTTCTACTATTGTTTTCGACTTGCTGAACCAATTTCGTCTTCAAATTTGCTCATTACAAAACCACCCGGCCGGTTCCTGGTACTGGAACTGGATTACCTTCAATGGCATGCCTCATTATTTGTTCGCGAGCTTCACAATTATAGGGGAACATGCCATGCCAATTTTCCGTTCCGTGTATACTCGTTACAATGCAAGTTGGTAAATTGATTTCTTTTGGACATTTGTAGGATGGGCAATACCTTCGACCATCAGACCCTGCTTATGAGCAGGTATTAGATTCCCTAGCTATGATTGCCCGGCATACTCCAGTTCCTCTCCTAGAGGCTCTTCTTAGATGGAGGGAGAGGTGTGTTCTCCTGGAAACTGAAATCCTTCTATTTGTGTATTATCTTTGGCCTTCTGTACTTCACTTTCATTTTCTCTTCACTTGAATTTTGGTAAGCCAAGTAAACCATAGTGGAGAAGAGGAAAATGGATTCAACTGTCGTTTTTAAGTAATTCTTTAACTGACATCTCGAATCTTAATTGCAGCGAATCTCCTAAAGGCGCAAATGATGCATCTACATTCCAAAGAAAGGTTTGTCAAGACCTAATACTTGCATCATATAGGAATTGGTGGTCTTTGTGGTAAAAATTTGTTATGTGAACTATTGGTCATAGTATATGTTGTGTTAGTGCAACCTTCTATGCTGTCCCACCCCTACTTTACTCTTGTTAAGGCATTTAGGTGGACATATTTTCTGTTCAGGAACTTTCAAAAGACGGTTTGTAGCAACATATCGGCCATTATGGATTCACATGATCTCAGTAATCAGTTTACTAAAATATTTTAGTTGGCTTTTGCTGCTACTTATGGTACAGTGGATATCGTTGCTTCTAGGTTTAGCGCCTGGGTACATTAGGAGAGTTTCATGGCGGAATAGTATCTTTGGATTGTCTCACTAAGTTTGTTGGTCTTTCCCAAGTACCACAGCTTATGATGAACTTTGCCAAGTTTAATTTGGCTTAGCTTGAGAAGTTGTGGCTTTGGATTGTCTCACTAAGTTTGTTGGTCTTTCCCTTATAGATAGCAGATTCACTATTCGCAGGAAGCATGATAGTGTGGTTCGCAGCATATGACTAGAAATGCATCTCTTGATTTAGGAAGTTACTATATGTTTGATTCACTTGATAGAGCAGAATGAAGTCAAAGGTAGTATGGGATGAGGAACTGGAGGTGGTGTATCGGTGGTTTTGGTATTGGTTGTGGTCATGCTTGTCTAAGATATGTGATGTTATGTTGATTATGTTGTCTGATGCAATGGTTTTTGTTGTTCTCTATCTGTATGTTATTGAATAGGCGAATCTAGGTTGTCCTGGATTCAGTCAATAGTCTTAGCTATATTGTCTTATGGCAAGCATTGCCTTGGTGATACAATTGTTATCTGTTTATTTTTTCTCAACAGCAATTGATTTCGAATTTAATAACCTTTTTATGCAAGACTAGCTAGCTGTGGAGTGTATTTTCTGCTCAGCGTGTATACGATTTGTGGAGTGCTGCCCACAGGAGGGACTTACAGGTTTGTTCAAGAATGTGAATCAGTTTCTAGTTCTTCTAATATTTGGTTCTTGTGTGAAATGACATTGCTAATTTTTATTGCAGAGAAGCTGTGGTCAGGGCTTGAGAATTTTGTGTTCGATTGGTTAATTAATGCTGACAGGTATGGCCATGGAATACAGTCATAGGGTGTAGGCTGAAGGTGATCATGTAACTAGCTATGCATCTGTACTGGGGTTGTGCCAAAGTGCAATTGTTTAAATACCTCATGCTCCCATTTATTCAAGATACTGCATTGCTTTGGTGCCATTTCGAATAGTTTTGTTATTTGAATCACCGTAAAATACATAAAAATGTCCATAAAATTTGTGCGCTCCCCCCCCCCCCCCCCCCCCCCAACCAATTGCATGTGATCATTAATAATGTATACGAAACCTGAATATTCCAACTAATCCATCCCTGCATATACCTCTATGCTGTTTAATTATTTTTATCTGTTATCCTGTGTATTCTGCTTGTTACTTGTTATAGTTCGCATGATTTTTTTTGGGATGAATTATAGCTCGCATAATTGATCTCTATTTTTTGCAGGGTTGTTAGTCAGGTTGAATATCCCTCATTGGTAGATTTGCGTGGCCTTCTCTTGGATCTGGTTGCTCAACTCCTTGGTGCCTTATCTCGCATCAGGTAACTAAATTGTTGCACTATGACCTTGACGGATGTTATTTTGTATGTCATTGTAAAATGTGGACGAAGCACTGGCTGACTTTTTGGGAAAATCTGTTGTAGCATTAGTTGGTAACCTTAGTTTTTATGTAATTGTATTTTCTCCCTTGCCACAGGTTTAGCTCAGTAACTGAGCGCTTTTTCATGGAGCTAAATACACGTCGGATTGACACTAGTATGGCCCGAAGCGAAACGCTCAGTATTGTCAACGGAATGCGATACTTGAAGCTTGGGGTATGTATGTCTTTACCTCTTATGTGGCTCTTGGAGAAATTCTGGGGCTGTTGTTCTTCTGGGGTCTCACTTCTCACAATCTCAATTTTAAGTCATGAAAAAGACTGTATAAAGCCTAAGGTCTGGCCAAACAGATAGTGAGAAAAGTGTGTTTGACAATTTACACCGGGTCATGGGCAGGTTAAGACTGAGGGGGGCCTAAATGCATCAGCTTCTTTTGTGGCCAAAGCAAATCCCTTGAACCGTGCTCCACACAAGCGCAAAAGTGAGCTCTACCATGCACTCTGTAATATGCTCTCGAACATCCTAGCTCCACTGGCAGAGGGTGGAAGAAACCAATGGCCACCATCAGGGGTACACAATGCACTTACTCTATGGTATGAGGCTGTTGGCCGAATAAGGATGCAACTTATACATTGGATGGACAAGCAAAGCAAGCATATAGCTGTAAGTGCATCTTAGATAGCCTGCGGCATCAATTTTTTTTATCCTCCCATGGTTTTGAAGCATTGAGCAATTCTGTGCCGTATTCCCAAGGGAGAAGCTGTGTTTATTATCATTTGGATAAACTGACCTGTTGAGTTCACTGAGGCATAAACAATTTGTCCGAGTTGATTCATAACCTTTGGTAATTGTTTAGTTGATGCCACCTAAAATCTTGAAAAATGATATCTGGTCATGCTGATGCAATAGGACTCTTGGAAAACCATTTATTTTTGTATTTAACTGAAAAAATGATTGCAGAAATTGAGTTTACAACCGGGTTTTGAATTTTTGTTCACCTTTTTCGTACTTAAGGAAATGGAAACGAGGGTAGTAAATGTAATTCAAGTTAAACTTGTGTTTGGCGTTCGTAGAACTTGGATGGAAGGAGAAGGTGAAAATCCAATCAAACAGAGATCTTCTAATTTTGTAAGCCTAGCTGACATTGATTTCGAACGGTCATCATTTGTGCTATATTGACAAAACTGGGTGTGGCACGTGTTGCCCAACTTCTGGATGATCAGATATGTTGCATCGAGTCTGAAGTCTTACTGTACTTTGTTCTAATGCACATTCACATATTTTTTTGGCAGTTTTATATCAATTCTAATATCAAACCTTATGATATGTTGCCCTTTAGCGCTATGTAGCCCCACTGGCCCCATTTTATGTAGCCTCACTCACTATTAGCAGCTCTGATATTTGCGTTTTTCTTTTTCCATTTTCCATTTTCTTTAGGTTGGCTACCCACTTGTTACCCTTCTTCTCTGTCTCGGTGATCCTCAAATATTTCACAGCAACCTAAGCCCACACATGGAGCAACTTTACAAGCTGTTAAAGGTAGGTTTGTTCTGTAACTTCATTCTAAGTGGCAGATGGGAGTGACATGGGACAACTCTTGGTGGTCATTTCAGACACATCTTGCGCCACTATCATTTTGGCTGGACATCAGGCAGCACATTCACTGCCTTACGCGTTGCTCATTGTGCAGGACAAGAATCATCGTTTCATGGCTCTGGACTGCCTTCATCGAGTTTTGAGGTTTTACTTGAGTGTTCATGCAGCTAGTCAGCCCCAGAACCGTATATGGGACTACCTTGACAGTGTAACTTCACAGCTCTTAGCTGTGGTAAGGAAAGGAACTCTTACGCAAGATGTACAACATGATAAACTTGTTGAGTTCTGTGTAACGATTGCGGAGCATAACCTTGATTTTGCCATGAACCATATGATATTAGAGTTGCTAAAACAGGATAGTAGTCCAAGCGAGGCAAAAGTTATTGGTCTTCGTGCTTTGCTTGATATTGTCATGTCACCTTCAAGTCCATATGTTGGCTTGGAAATTTTTAAAGGTAATGGATTACTCTTCAGGATGTTCACTTAACTCCAGATTAACTTTTAGCTGACATTTGTTGCTTTAGCAGGACAGGATATTGGCCACTACATACCCAAAGTCAGGGCAGCGATTGAGTCAATTTTGAGGTCTTGTCATAGAGTTTACAGTCAGGCACTTTTGACATCTTCAAAAACAACCATAGGTAAGATATTTTTCCAAGTTTCTGAAGGAGTAAGTGCAAGAATCACGCTCTTGTGAATTCTCTCCCTGCCTAGACGTGGATAGAAAGAGTATAAGTAATACGTTAATTATAAGTCAGGTCATGTGCTTCAACTAGTCTTTTTCTTGTGGTCATATGCTTTCGAAATTCCCCGTCATATGTTATTGTTCATGCTTACTTGAATCTTGTGCTTTATCAGATGCTGTAACCAAGGAGAAGTCCCAAGGGTACCTCTTTCGTTCTGTATTGAAGTGTATACCCTATTTGATAGAAGAAGTTGGTCGAAGTGATAAGATCTCTGAAATCATTCCTCAACATGGAATAAGTATTGATCCTGGTGTCCGAGAAGAGGCTGTACTGGTATTGAACCGGATTGTTAAGTACCTTCCTCATCGCCGATTCGCAGTAATGAGAGGAATGGCGAACTTTATCCTTCGGCTTCCAGATGAATTCCCTCTTCTCATTCAGACGTCATTGGGACGTTTGTTGGATCTCATGCGTTTTTGGAGAGCTTGTTTGATTGAGGATAGATTAGATATTGGTGTTGATGATACGAAGCGAGTGCCGCAGAGAAATGCAGGATTTAAAAAATCTTCTTTCCATCCGACTGAAGCGATTGACTTTCATGCATCAGACATAGATGCTGTTGGATTAATCTTTCTTAGTTCCGTAGATAGCCAGATTAGACATACAGCACTGGAGCTACTGCGCTGTGTCCGTGCCTTGTGGAATGATATAGCAGACCTGACAGTGTACACGCAGCTGGATCTTAACTTGAGAACCGAACCAATATTTGTTATTGATGTCCTAGAAGAACATGGGGTGAGAGATGTATTATTATTATTACTATTAGTATTATTATTGTCATTATTTGGATAGAATGGTGACAGATTTATTATTGTCTATGTTATTGAGTCCTTTTTTAATTATTATATGTATGAGGCCTTTCTTGATGAATGATTGGACTTATACACATGAATACTACAGGACGACATAGTTCAGAGCTGCTATTGGGATTCTGGGCGTCCATTTGATCTGAGACGAGAGTCTGATGCAATTCCTCCTGAAGTGACTCTACAATCTATCATTTTTGAGAGTCCGGACAAAAATAGGTGGGCCAGGTGTCTGAGTGAACTAGTTAAATATGCTGCTGAGCTTTGCCCAAGCTCTGTTCAAGAAGCAAAGTAAGTATATTTTGTTGCTGTATTTATGGTTGCTTACCCACTATTGTATGCTTTCTATTACAGCTTCCCTGTATCATAGTTTGGAGCAAGACATTCCAAAAAACTATCATAAGTTTTATGTTATTTGTGTTTCCTTTAATAGTATCATCTGAAAATCTTTGTAGCTTTTTACTATTGTATTTAGGATCCAGCCTAGGTGGAGAGAATCCTGCTTTATTTGACTATGTGCTTCCATAACAGTTATTAGAGTGATAGCGACTCAAGTTATTTGCTGATACCAAGTAAAGCTGATGAAAATTTATGAGGAACTCTTTTTTGTAAAATAATTATTTTAAGTTCTGTTTAAAATCGACTTGCTTCTGCTGACAGTAACTCTCTGTCCTGTGTAGCATTTCAAATTTGATGAATCCCGATATTTCTGGTTCTCAATTTTAGTTTGTGACTTCTGGTTCTTTTAAGCTGGTTAGCTGAAAATTGTGTTAATTTTGTTACATTACTAATTTGGTTGGTGGTTTGACTGCACTATTTTATTTACGAATGAGAAGAGGAAGTGGTGTGACTGATGTTGTTTTATTGGCAGAGTGGAGGTAGTTCAACGCCTTGCCCATATTACTCCAACTGATTTAGGTGGCAAGGCTCAGTCGCTAGACGGAGACAACAAACTTGACCAGTGGCTCATGTATGCAATGTTTGCATGCTCTTGTCCCCCAGATAGTAAAGAATCTGGTGGCTTTCAAGCGGTGAAAGATCTCTATCATCTTATTTGCCCGTCATTAAGATCTGGTTCTGAAGCGAACATAGTAAGTGGATGTTTGAAAAAATATCACTGTAGCTTCTCTATGTTAGTTCTGTTTTTAATTTGTTTTTTAGATGCCTTTTGGTTACTTTATTTTGTTGAGGTATCAGAAAGATGTTCACAAGGTAGAGTAATTTATAAGAAGGAAAACTAAGCTGGAACTTCTTGTGAACAATAATGGTAGCTTATAAGCCAGAACAATCCATGCCATTGTAGTGCACACTGGATTGGATTCGGAGGTGTAGGCAAGAACTGATGATCCGAGGTTGGAATAAGAGCTTGAAGCTCTCTATCACTGATTAACCACAGTCACAAAAGTTGCATGCAAATTGTGAAGCAATTTCGCAGCAAAGCACACATGTAATCGTCATCTGCGATTCTATCGCTATAATTTAGCCAAAGCATGCCAACTGCAAAAGTAGACTTAGTATTAGATAAGAAAGCAGCTTAGAAAGGATTCAAACAAGCTGTAGCAGGGAAAGGAAAGGAAAGAGGAGGTCTGTTGGACAGATTAAGGGGCAAATGATTTACTTGATGATGGTTGTCGTAAGTTTATAGTTCGGAAGAAAAATCAAGTGAGGTTTTCCTCTGTGTTAGATGTAGAACTTACACAGATAGATCACATATAACTGATTATCTTTAGAGCAAGAACCAGAAGTGTGAAACTTTTCCTAAGACTGGTATTCCTGAACAGAACAGGAAAGACATAACACAGAAGCGTATTCCTAAATCCTACCTGTAATAGAAAAACTAATATTCTAGGAATTGGCTCTTCTACCAACTTTCTAATGGTAGGTGTCTAATTTAATGAAGTAAGCAATTTATCTGACATTTTGGATCCTTCTCTTGTTCCCCATGATAAAAAATATGGTGTTTTTCCTTTTGGACAGCTATCTTGTGCGCATCTAGATTGCCATATAATTGTTGTTTGTGCTATCTTGTATGTTAGTAGACATGAATGAATTCTGTATAGCTTAGGTCGTGAATATCATGCTTTTATTTTCAATATAACAACAGTTATGTTTTTGTTTGGCATCAACAGCATGCAGCTACAATGGCCCTTGGGCGCTCACATTTGGAAGCATGTGAAATCATGTTCAGTGAGCTCTCATCTTTTGTTGACGAGGTTTCTCTGGAGACCGAGGCAAAGCCGAAGTGGAAGGTAAGGATCCTTTTTTTTTATGAGTATAACTGTATCAGCTTGCAATTTGAGAGGATGGTTATTTTCTTTCAGCAAGAATCTTGACTGCAATATATTTGAGGTGATGCCTTCAGAATGTTGCTAGGATTCCATTCAAAAGTGTGGCTTTGTATTTCAAAAAACAATGGTGTGCCAGTCAACTAATTTTCTCTGTTTAAGCCATATACCAGAACATTTCATACTTAAACCACAACATTAATTTCTAAAGAAAAGATAGCTTAATTGGTTGCTATATTGTGAGAAGAGTATTTCCCGTTCCTTTATTATTATTTTTTTGAATTAACATACAAATATGGAAATGAAAACAACTTGCACACCTGTCATTTACTGTATTCCTTGATGGTTTCATACTTGATAAGAGGTATATCGATTGGGTATTTTGGATTCACCTTCAGTTTGTTGCCCATTTCCACTTTGTTTTCTTAGGTTGAATTCAAGTTTTGTTTCATGATCGTGGAGACTTGACTCCTAATTCCTACTCATGCTTGTGCAGAGTCAAAAATCACGCAGGGAAGAGCTCCGTCTACACATTGCAAATATTTACCGCACTGTTGCTGAAAACATCTGGCCTGGAATGCTTAATCGCAAACCTGTTTTCCGTCTTCATTATCTGAGGTTCATCGATGACACAACCAGGCAGATCCTAACAGCTCCCACTGAGAACTTTCAGGAGATGCAGCCTCTTCGGTATGCTCTTGCATCTGTTATAAGATTCCTTGCCCCTGAATTTGTTGACTCGAAATCAGAGAAATTCGACCTCAGAACCAGAAAGCGGCTGTTTGATCTTCTCCTGTCCTGGAGTGATGACACTGGTAGTTCGTGGGTGCAAGATGGCGCTAGTGATTATCGACGTGAAGTTGAACGGTACAAGTCTTCCCAACATTACAGGTCAAAAGACTCTGTCGACAAAATTTCATTCGATAAAGATTTGAGTGAGCAGATCGAGGCAATCCAGTGGGCCTCCATGAATGCTATGGCTTCACTCTTATATGGACCTTGTTTTGATGACAATGCAAGGAAAATGAGTGGTCGGGTTATATCTTGGATCAACAGTTTGTTTAACGATCCTGCACCTAGGGCTCCATTTGGTTACTCTCCAACTCCGTCTCACTCCAAATACACAGGGGAAAGTGCACGTGGAGTTGCTGGTCGTGATAGACACAGGGGCAGCCATCATCGTGTTGTGCTGGCAAAATTAGCTTTGAAGAATCTTCTTCTTACGAATTTGGATCTCTTCCCGGCTTGCATTGACCAGGTGATATTACCTCCCCTTTCCCATTTCACTGGTATTTTTCCACTGCAAGAAAAATACTAGTCCTGACATGAACTTCGTAGTTATGCAGCCATGATAAAAGTTAAAACTAATATGAAACAAACTAGATGATTTTTATTGGTCACTAATGCTCCTACTGGTTCTATCCTGTTGAGTTATTTTTTCAATTTTAATTTCAGAAAGTAAACCATTAAACTGAGACAAGCATACCGTTAGAAATGTCCATTTTAAGCTTATTTCTAATGAGTTTCTAGAGTTCTTTTTTCCTGTTCTAATTAGTAAGCAATATTTGCAGTGCTATTACTCTGATGCTGCTATTGCCGATGGCTACTTCAGTGTTCTAGCTGAGGTCTATATGCGCCAAGAGATACCAAAATGCGAAATACAGAGGCTTCTGAGCCTGATCCTCTACAAAGTGGTGGACCCAAATAGGCAGATTCGTGACGATGCCCTTCAGATGCTGGAGACACTTTCTGTTCGCGAGTGGGCTGAGGATGGGATGGAAGGTTGTGGGGGGTATCGAGCCGCTGTTGTGGGCAATCTCCCTGACTCCTACCAACAATTCCAGTATAAGCTTTCATGCAAACTAGCCAAAGACCACCCAGAATTAAGCCAGCTTCTTTGTGAGGAGATAATGCAGAGGCAACTTGATGCTGTCGACATAATTGCACAGCATCAGGTGTTAACCTGCATGGCCCCTTGGATCGAAAACCTTAATTTCTGGAAACTCAAGGACTCAGGGTGGAGCGAGAGATTACTGAAGAGCCTTTATTACGTCACGTGGCGTCATGGGGATCAGTTTCCGGATGAAATCGAGAAACTGTGGAGCACAATTGCTAGCAAAGCCAGGAACATCAGTCCAGTTTTGGATTTCTTGATCACAAAAGGGATTGAAGATTGTGACTCCAATGCATCTGCAGAAATAAGTGGTGCGTTCGCGACATATTTCTCAGTCGCAAAGAGGGTGAGCTTATATTTAGCCCGGATATGCCCACAGCGTACGATCGACCACTTGGTTTACCAACTTGCTCAGCGAATGTCAGAAGACAGTCTCGAACAAGTCGGCCCAAGTGTGACAACTAAGGGCGATCCAAGTGCTAGCTTCGTCTTGGAATTCTCTCAGGGCCCTTCAGCTGCCCAAATTGGTGCTGTTGTCGATACCCAGCCGCACATGTCACCTTTGCTCGTCCGGGGTTCCCTAGATGGGCCCCTCAGAAACAGCAGTGGAAGTCTGAGCTGGCGGACATCTGGTGTAACCGGGCGCAGCGTCTCAGGTCCTCTCAGTCCAATGCCTCCAGAACTAAATGTAGTCCCAGTGACAGCTGGCCGATCAGGACAGCTTCTTCCAGCACTAGTGAACATGTCTGGTCCATTGATGGGAGTTAGAAGCTCCACAGGAAGTATACGTAGTCGGCATGTATCTCGAGACAGTGGAGATTACCTCATTGACACTCCAAACTCTGGTGAAGACGGCTTGCATCCTTCTACCATTGGCATGCATGGCGTAAATGCCAAAGAGCTTCAGTCAGCACTACAAGGCCATCAACAGCATTCCCTTACTCATGCAGATATAGCACTGATTCTACTCGCTGAAATTGCTTACGAGAACGACGAAGATTTCCGTGAGCACTTGCCTCTGCTGTTCCATGTCACTTTTGTCTCCATGGACAGTTCGGAAGACATCGTGCTGGAACACTGCCAGCACTTGCTCGTCAATTTGCTCTACTCGCTCGCCGGGAGACATCTGGAATTGTATGAAGTGGAAAATAGCGATGGAGAGAACAAACAGCAGGTGGTCAGTCTAATAAAGTACGTACAATCGAAGCGAGGAAGCATGATGTGGGAGAATGAGGACCCCACAGTTGTTCGACCATCTCTCCCGAGTGCAGCACTTCTATCAGCACTAGTACAGAGCATGGTCGATGCTATCTTCTTCCAAGGAGATCTCCGTGAGACTTGGGGTGCTGAAGCTCTCAAGTGGGCCATGGAGTGCACATCGAGACACTTGGCTTGCCGGTCCCACCAGATCTACCGTGCACTCCGACCCAGTGTAACGAGTGACACGTGTGTCTCCCTCCTTAGATGTCTTCACAGGTGTCTTGCTAACCCTGTTCCCCCGGTCTTAGGATTCATAATGGAAATCTTGCTTACTCTGCAAGTAATGGTGGAGAATATGGAGCCAGAGAAGGTGATACTCTACCCTCAACTGTTCTGGGGCTGTGTTGCAATGATGCACACCGACTTCGTTCATGTCTACTGCCAGGTCCTCGAGCTCTTCTCTCGAGTCATCGACAGGTTATCTTTCCGTGACCGGACTACCGAGAATGTCCTCCTTTCCAGCATGCCTCGTGACGAGCTGGACACCAGCGGCGGTGATATAACTGGTGATTTCCAACGAATGGAATCATCATCATCAATGGGGACCCTCCCAACATTCGAAGGTGTGCAGCCTCTTGTCCTCAAAGGTCTAATGTCAACGGTTAGCCATGATACCTCCATCGAGGTCCTGTCGAGGATAACAGTCCACTCCTGTGATTCCATATTTGGGGATGGAGAGACTCGCCTTCTCATGCATATCACTGGGTTGCTCCCATGGCTCTGCTTGCAGCTCAACAAAGACACAACAAAAGCGTGCTCAGTGGCGAACAACATAGCTGTGTGGTGTCGAGCCAAGTCACAGGATGAGTTGGGAACGGTGTTCGTGGCCTACGCCCGAGGAGAGCTTCGGAGCATTGAGAATCTTCTCGGCTGTGTGTCACCGTTGTTATGCGCAGAGTGGTTTCCGAAGCACTCAGCGTTGGCATTCGGGCACTTGCTTCGGCTGCTGGAGAGAGGGCCAGTGGAGTTCCAGAGGGTCATACTGCTCATGCTCAAGGCTTTGCTGCAGCACACTCCAATGGATGCTTCGCAGAGTCCTCATATGTACGCAATCGTGTCTCAGCTGGTTGAGAGCACCCTTTGCTGGGAGGCACTTAGCGTGTTGGAGGCTCTTCTACAAAGCTGCAGTAACTTACCCGGCGGTGGTGGGTCCCACCTGCACGAAGCTGGTGGTGGAGAGAATGGTGGTGATTTTGGTTTGGCAGGGGTTCAGACGTCGTTCAAGGCTCGGAGTGGGCCACTACAGTATGGGCTGGGTTCGGGATTGTTTGCAGCAGCAGGAGTTTCACCGTGGGGCAGTCAAGGCGGAGGAGGTGTTGAGACGGGGATTCCAGCGAGGGAGGTCGCTCTGCAGAACACTCGGCTTATACTTGGGAGGGTGCTGGATAATTGTGCGCTAGGGAGGAGACGGGATTACAAACGGCTGGTTCCATTTGTAAACAACATCAGCTCGTGAAGGAAAAAGAGCAGCAGGCTACTGTGCCAAGAGAATAATATGGTGTGTACTTTTATCCTTTATATTCATTACTGTTGCGTGTAAATGTAATTATATTAGTTGGGGAAGATAGGCGAGGCCGTGAATTGGTTCTTGTAAATAGGCCTTCTGGGTGGAAAGCTGGGGTGATGGAGATGAAATGCTGTGCGCATTGTCGACGGCGACTGAAAAGATGGATGTCGAATGCTTGTTACGGTACTCGTTTGCAAGTATATTTTGGTCCCTACTACTTTAAAGGTATTCTGTCTCAGAGCCTAGAGGCTAGAGCTTATCCTCTTCCTATTCGATTTTGTTTTGCCCGTCGAACTGCTAGTAGATAGAGTTCTCTGTCTTTCGATTTCAGGGAAGTTGCTAGAACTCTTCACCGAGTTACACTGTTTCCTTATTTCCCCGAAACACAAATGCTGTAGAGTTGCGGTCTAGCTTCTAGTCGAGAAGTTGCAACAAGCAACTGTTTCTTGAAGCTGAAAGACTGGCTAGTCATGTAAGCCAGTAGGCTATACTTGACAAGAAAAGAATAATGAGCAGCAAAAAAGAGATGAGAAGTTGAGAACAAGACAGCACAAAGTATATATTACAGCTTCCTTCAGGGTACAATCTGGGATCACAGTACTGGATGTATAAACCAGAGCAGCATGCAAAGCCAACACGAAGATATTACACAACACCAGAGCAAGGTTTATGGCGAAAGTTCAACCCCCGCTCCTAAGGTGATTGAAGGATCACCACTCTTCATTGCGCATTTGCGCGCCTTCTTGTACAAGAATACAACTCCCTAAAACAAAATCAGGGTTCTTGACAAATTCTTAATTTAACAACACACACGGACAGGATTCCAAGATTTTTTTTTTAAATCTCATGCAGTAGGAGACGAGTTCTTCTTAATCAACGCATATGCATCACTGTATATTGCCACTCCATTTGACAACACTGCTAGCACAATCATGAACACACACAGCATCTTGTCCTTCGACGTTGCTATATAATGCCGGTCCCTGAAACTCGGCAGCCAATTCCATGTGAGACAATCATAGACGGATATCAATTAAGTACAAACGAAATCAGTTGACAGGAGCTCACCTGAGAGTAAGGGAAGCTGGGAAAATGAACCCAATGCAAACAGCAGCTGTGGCTCCAGTGAACTGGAAAGCATCCCAGATGCTCGGGATAAAATTTGCACCCAAGAAGATGACTGAGATGAGAGCGATGGTGAGAGATGCAAACCGAAAGTTATCCTGGTTTAAAGGCCTTGAAGAGGGGAACAGGAGGCCATCCAAGTTCAGCCTTAGCGGATGGAAAACAATAGGAAACACAAGCATCAAATGTGCGGCATAACTGACACGAATAACATCATTGAAAAATGAGCTATAAGGAATGCCAAGGTCAGTGTTGAAGTTGGCCAGCACATCGTCCATCGTAGAATCGCCAAATAGAAGAAAGCCGAAAACGCTCGTCATAACATATACGGATGAACATAAGGCGAGTGATGTTCGCACCACTGGCTTTATCTGAGTCGAATCCTCAAGCTCATTGTCTATGCTGTGAACTGCCAAACAGAGAATTCCAAAATCAGTACCCGTAGTTGAGCGTTTGTTATATCTACAGTTTTAGTTCCAGATACTTAAGTTGGAAAGAAAGCTCAAACAAAAATACATTTAATATCTAACCAGCTATTCACACACTAACGCACCCTAATCCCGGAAAATACTTAAATCTGAAAGTCACATCATTAGTGAATTTTCATTACTAACTTTATGTTTGGAATAAGAATCTATTCAAAAGATTATACTCATAATATTCACTCCCAAACCCACACATTTTGATTAATATTAAGCAAACTACATGTCATCGCATCATTTACTTGTTATTACTAATAAAACTTGCATATACCATATACCCTGCTCTCTCTAGAGCATTACAAGACACTTTAGTTTTTTCATAACACTCCCATTGAACTTGTTTCTCCAGAAGGTATTAAGCCCAAGCCAGTCCTTCAGAAATAGTAAACACGAGATGTAAACTTTACTATATCCCAAAGGCCATACGAAGCTAGGAATTCCATACCAAGGGAATTCAAGAGGATAATTCTTCATGCTGGTTGCACAGAAACCAAGAAATGTTATAAGAAATGAAAGACACTCAGAAGTCAGAACACCATTTGCTATGGAGCAGATGCCATGATGCTTTTGGTCCAGCATTAGAGTAACAAGGCCCACATATATAGTTGGAATTAGAATTTGACATACCGTTGTAGTGGCAAATGTATGCAGTGACAAGAACAGGAACAACTGTGAAGATGTTCCAGAACGAAGCCAGATTTGTAACATCAGGGAGCAATCTGGGCATCATTATGCTACCATTTATCAACTTCACAATTGTAATCCCCATGGTGATGACAATGAATACTACTGCAAGCGCAACTGAGAGTGCTGATGTATAGCTTAAAGAGTCTGCAAAAACAAACGAGCCACAGCCAACACAACACGAAGCATGAGAAGTGAAATAAATTTGGAATCCTAAATTGGTACCACAAGCTAAAATTGTACATTTGTATAACAAAATCACTTAGTATTCGCTATGGAAGCATGGAACCTATTCACATGTGACACATAAAAAAAGGAAAGAGGAACCCAATTCCAGTATTGACATGAAGAATTACTGATCCAGTATTGCAAGTGAGTTATCAAGTGATCTGTTGAGGTGGCTATGCAACTGGAGTTCAATTTCCAGAAACCATTTTGAAATTGAGTCAAATCGCTACAAAGACTGTTTTTAGATTACAGGCAGAGCAGAATGAACGCAACGGAAAAATAAAAACAGTAATCAATGTCTCCTTTGGCCAGGTTAACTAGCAGGTCTTATGTCCACTTTTACTAACAACCGAACCGAAAACTTACCAAGTCGCTTTAGACAGGCCAAGGGAGAAAATATGCCCAATGTAGCGACAAGTAGTACAGCAGTGCGTCCATTCCACAAATGTACTCCAAACCACCCTTCAAGAACACCCGGGTGATGAATTCCATCAGCAGTTGTTCCAGACAGCACATCACCTTCACAAAAGGATAAGTAGGTACACAATTGAGTCAAATGTTTTCAACCACAATGAAATATAGACAAATATAGAGAAATTACGCAATATATTAAGGAAAACTAATAAAGGTGAAGCCAGGGCATACCGATGATTATCATGTACACAATGAGTACACCTATGTTGTTGATCATGACAGCAATTTGCAACAAATTTTTCCCAACTTTTCCAAAGGCGTCCCCCATAAGTCCACCATAAGATGAACTCTTGGATACCCGGCTAAACCTAAGCAACAATTCAATTGAAGCTTCTGTCAAGAATGCCATAAAGATGATCATGGCAACCCCAAGTACAAGCCCCAACACCTTCATAGTGGCGGGCAGAGCCATGATACCGGCACCAACAATGGTTGTTGACAAATTGAACACAGCCCCCGTGAAAGAAGCTCCATTGAACTCATCAAAACCACCATCCTCATCGTGCGTTTTCGGAAGCAAGGGAGCATTCTCATCAACCTGCTTCCCCTTTTTACTAGATTTCCTTTCTTTCTTGGGAGCTGTATTGTTCCCAATCGTCATCTTTCTTATCTCTTAGACTACGAATTCGAAAATCCTCCTGAATTTTGACAAAGGCTCAGCCTTTCAAACGAAATAAGAGAAACCCCACCAAAATCAGCTTGAAATTTCTGAAACTCATTAGGGCTAAGCAGTGAATTTCAACTGAGAAATGATGAAATGATATTGAAGTAGCGGCAAACCTGCAAGATATATGAAAACAATTGGAGCAGGGAAGGGAAGTGCGATTGTTGGAACCCAGAAACGCCTTTATAACGAAGAAGATAAATACCCCAAAAGAAAGCAGGCTCTCGAAAATCAAACCCAAGCCAAACCCAGAATCAGAAACTGGAAAATGATCAAACTTGGGAGCAACCCGATATTTAGGAAGCAGGGTATTGACCAGATTCCGAGGTATCAAGATTTTTTTTTTGGTGACTGGGCCGAGTTATCTACAAGTTGCTGAATTTCGAGTTATATAGCCCAAGGAGAGAGAGGGAGGGAGAGATGCACACGGAACGCAGAAGAAAGTCTTTTGTGTACAGTTCTAGGGACGGCTTACGAAACGCGAATTGACAATTCGGCGTCTGGTCGCCACATGAATTGTTTAATCTATAGAAATCGAAAGTAGGTGCAGGCGGGGAGATAAAAACATCCGGGGAAGGCGAAGGAATTTGTTTTTCCTGCTAGTAGTGTTTGGAGACAGAGGTTGGTCCGTGTGAGTGGAAAGATGACAATATGAACATCGAGAGCGATGGCCGATGAATGAATGAATGAAAGAATGAGCAAGGACGAGAAATCTTCTCGCTGATGATCTAATCAACCTAGTTGTTGTTAGTCGTGTTTTGTCATTTATTTAATTAATTTAAGCTTAATGTGTGGTGCTTGTTAAGTATTTTGAGTCTTCAAACATTTCTTTAAACTAAAATTCTGATCTCATTTGATCAAAGAATCTTTTTTTCTGAAACATGAGTCATTCTACTGTGTATTTTTTTTTTTATTTGGATAAATCATTGGCTACCTTGCACTTATAACTGGATTAATTGTACAAGATGCCACGTGAATATTAATTTTGTTGCATAATAATCACTTAATTTCTTTTAGTTGCAACTGAACTATATAAGTTAATTTCTGGTTGTACTTAATCGTGGGTATCAAATTAATTTTTCCATTTTTTTTTCACTTTCTTGCTCTCTTAAAAAATAAATAATTTTTTTTTATAAAAAAAGCATTGAATAAATCCAATCACAATAGCTCTTTGAAAATAATTTATTGCCCTCAGTCGCCGATCTTCTGCAAAATTAATTCTAGAGTTGGAGATTTTGGCTGTAAACTTCGGTTGGAAAATTGAGTTCCGTTTTGGATTTCTTTCTTTAGTAGAATGATGATGAGTAATATTAATACACAAGTTAAATCACTGTTGCATACGATAATTTCGCTTCTCCTCTCCGCATCACTATTCATGAAAGGTTGAAATTCCATGCCGCCAGACCCACAACATCGCAGCGTACCCACAAGGCCACAAATCCGTTTCCGGGATACTTCCATACAATTAATTATGTGTTGGGTAGGCCAAGTCGGGCTTCTCTATTCTCTAACCAATGCGTTTTGGGACCAGTAGTAGGAATGACAATGGGCAGGTTTGGGGCGGATATCTAGATATCCATACCCGCTCTATGGCAAGTCAGGTCCAGGTTGGGTAATTTATCACGGGGTGCAGATCGGGGCAGGTCGACCCAATGGGTATGTAATTTATGTGAAAAATGTTAGAAATATTCATTGTTTTCATTAAAAGACCAAGTAACGAACCATAATATGATAAAATGTAGTTAAATTATTAGAGAATTTGAGGTTTTCACTTATTTACAACTTTTTTATAGCTAAAATATGAGATAATAAAAGGAAAATCCTAAATAATTTGACTAAGATTACATGTAATTTAGGCAAGAACGGGTCAAGAATGGGGCGGGTCAGGGCATGTCGGGTCGATGAGAGGTACCCATGCCCGCCCCGCCCCGCCCCGCCCCAAAGCAGGCCAAACATGTCAGGTATCACGGGTCAGGTCAACATTGCCATCCCTAACCAGTAGGATACATGGGAATTGGGATCGTTGTTGTGGTTAGCTATGGTTATAAATAATGGCGAAGCCATGATTCAATTTAAATTGGATCTTGTTTACGAATAATTTTATAATATTTTATTTATATATAAAATCAAGTAGTTTTGTCCTATCCTACCAAAAAAAATCAAGTAGTTATTCATCAAATTATCAATTAATCAATTTTATCATAATCTCTTTATCTCATTATCAGTTGTTTGCGTAACTTTTTATTTTTCATCTCATACACTCAATTTCACCGTAAGATTTGTTTCCTTTAGATAACCATCTCTTTACTTTTTCATTCCACATCACGACACGAAACGTAAAACATAAGTCTTCAGTACTAAGATGATACATAAACTTTATGGACGGATAGTAATATCTATCAATTAAACAAACATATTATATAAGTCTTTCATGATATATGTTTGCGTAACTTTTTATTTTTCATCTCATACACTCAATTTCACCGTAAGATTTGTTTAATTGATAGATATTACTATCCGTCCATAAAGTTTATGTATCATCTTAGTACTGAAGACTTACGTTTCGTTTCGTGTCGTATCATCTTAGTACTGAAGACTTATATCTCTTTATCTCATTATCAGTTGTTTGCGTAACTTTTTATTTTTCATCTCATACACTCAATTTCACCGTAAGATTTGTTTCCTTTAGATAACCATCTCTTTACTTTTTCATTCCACATCACGACACGAAACGTAAAACATAAGTCTTCAGTACTAAGATGATACATAAACTTTATGGACGGATAGTAATATCTATCAATTAAACAAACATATTATATAAGTCTTTCATGATATATGTTTGGGTGAAAATTCATAAATTATTAACTAAACTGTTGAAGATCTCATCAATTTGAATTTCAAAAAAGTTATGTTAGATCAGACATAACAGTTCAATTAGATGTGATGTTTTCATCAATTTGCATTATGCCAATTAAAGCTTGCGTAAGATAAGTCAATCTTACATAATAGTTTAATCAAATGTGAGACTTATCCGTACCTTAATTTTATTATTAGACCATAGATTACGTAAGATTGCATAACAATGTGCTATAACAGTTATTGAAATACATTGCGTAAAGTTTATGAAGGCTGAAGGGATATTTATGTCTTATGTATCAATCAAACAAATGTACGATGTAAGTTTTCCATAATAATTAAAACACAAAATTAATGGAAGCATGTACTCAAACTATTTTTTAAATAATTTTATGTCTTACTGTCGCGAAGCGCGGGCCAAAAAACTAGTACCATTAACAAAGCTATAGTAAGAATTCAGTTGGAATTTCTTCGTTACTTTACGCTCTCTGTTGCTGGATTTCACAACTTAATGAGACCCGTTTCTTAATTCTTCTTCACTCGTCCAATTCAAAGCATGCTCTTGTATTTAATTTCAATATGCTTCTCTGTTTTTGCTCAATCATCACCTGAAGTACAGGTGTACATAACTCAGCTAAAGGACTATTTATATCGAAACTTCTTTTGGTTAAAATATTCATTACAACACTTACACAACAATAACTTATACGATTCATTAATAATATTTGAATTTAAACTTTAAGAGAGACATCCAAAAAACTTCTCCTGCAAATACCTTTCAGAATGAGATAGAGGATAGGGGTGGAAAAATGGTTGTGGTTTTGCGGTTAAACCGAAACCACACCGAATAAGCGCCGTTTGCGGCTAACCAAAAACCGATTAAAGAGGTGTTTATGCGATCGCGGTTAACAGAATTGGACACTTTGCGGTTTGTAGACTAACCGCTAACCGCACCGAATAACAACCTAACCGCATAACTAACCGCACTAGAGGCCAATACCTGCCCTTCTCCAAGTACACACTGCTGATTCCATCTAAGAAGCTATCCATTGAGCTTAGAGAGAGGGACATGGCGGAGATGCAGGAAATGTCCAATTTTTTATGGGCTTGAAATCAATTTCCTTGTACACAACATTAAACACTAAATAAAAATGTATATGATCTTTAATTGAGTGCACCATGAATCAGCCTAAATGCCTCGTAAGTTCGCTTAACTACACCCTAAATGATGCTGGTATACTATCCATATTGACATCCCCAATTTCCCATTGTTGTGCACAATGCAGTCAAAATTGTGGTTTAAAACTTAAAAACTTACGCTTTTACATTTTTAGGTCACCAAAACGCTTCTACGTAGAATCGTGATTTTCCCTTACAAATGTAGTCAAAATCTACGCTTTAAAACTTAAAAACTTACGATTTTACGTTTCTGGGTTACCCAACCATTTCTAGGTAGAATCGCGCTTTTGACTGCATTGGTTGTGCTCAACTCATGCCTGTAATTTCAGGACCACCTCCTTATTCTTCATGGAATAATATTTGTCAAGCCATATCGTACTAGTGATCCAATCCAAAAAAATTTATTGGTGTCCACCTGATATTATAATTTATCTAACACCAAATAATTGAACCACAAATAAACTACCATTTACAATATAAAATACTATACCATGTATTGATGGTACAGTGTACCGTAGGATTTCTTACCTTGTATATTAGAGCACAAATTCATATGAGCTATCAATGACTCAATGCTCTGACAATTCTCCTCTTATCTCTATTAGCCTAGTCGTTAATCATGGTTGTAATGATCACGTCAGGTTCTTAAATAATTCCAAGTTTAATATGTGGTGTTTGTTAATAGGAGTTGATACTTCACATTATAGAAAGGGGTCAGAGGTCCCTCCGCATAAGTGAGAAGTTTACCGAGTCTTTTTGTATGCCAAAATGTTGAACTCATGTCATGTAATAAAAAAAATAGCATTCTGGACCCATGAGTGATTCTACCTCGCATTATATTCTTCCTTTGAATTGGATGAGTTACTGTGTACAATTAGTAAGACGTCGAGCAATATGGTCTA